TTAAACGTTTGTTCCATTTATCTGAAAAAACAAGTCTCCCGTTTTCCAGAAAGCAATTATCACAAATAATAAACTTTTTATCCTTTCCACTTTGTAACTGTACACTTTCAAACACAGGTGTAAGTTGTATTTTGTCAATACAAGGGATTTTGTCAATGCAAGGCATTTCAGTTGCCAGAAGTTGTGCCTGTTTTCCCTGTGGCTGACAAGTTTTATGTCTGATTCTTTGGTGATCACATTCACATTGCCTAGGGATGGCAACAATGTTTCGATTGCAAGCTCGACATTGGGAGAAAACGATATTGAAATTTGCCTTGCTGAATCTCTTTTAATCAAAGACTGGACATCTGTCTCTAAACTCTTCACTGTGGTCTCAAATTCTCTAAATGCTATAAACAATTGGAAATCTGACGCATATTCTTTAATAACATCAGCTTCTTCCTGCATTTTTGCAACATTTGTTTTTAATACTTCGAACTCTGTAATCGTTTCTTCAATAGCCTGGAAATGTTCTTGGTGTAAAACTTCTATTTTGGTTTTAAGTTTTGTTTCAAGTTGATCAAGATGAACAATGACGTTCCTTTTGGTATCTGCAATTTCTTTCAAACATTTCTCTTTCTCGTCGGCAAGTAACGATATATTATCAAATCGACCTTTCATTGAAGAATTTAAGTTGTTGAGCAAATCTGATAATGTTCGCTCAAAGTCCGAAAGAGCATTTGAGGTTTTGAAATATTCAACGACTTTATGCATTGCAGTTAAATGTCGGCATTCTGAATGGGTTGTTTTCATGCATTCAACACAGCAGGGTAATTCATGCTGACTACAATAATATTCAAATCTTGCGTCATGATCAGGACAGTCATTCTTTATCTCTTTCACAACTGCAGGTAATTTATCAAAACATTCGAAAGGAATTGTTTCGTGAGTTTTTCTCAGTTTTGAAGCAGATTGATATAATTTGCATGGCTCACAAAGACTTTGCTCACATTCTGGGCACCAATCAGTGGCAAATACTGTTATGTCCCTTATTTGACAAATATCACACAACCTTCCACCTGTCGCCATGCTGAAATAAAATGAAAATTTAGGTTTTAGAAACCTCCATACGGTTGAAAATTAGGCAAATTCGCTTCACGTATCAAAATTCAGACTAATTATTTTACATTTTATACCACTCTTCACACAATACAAGCTGTAGAGATTGTGTAACATTTCAAAAAATTGTGATACCTTTTAAATAAAATAAAAATCATTATGAAATATTCAATTTTATTCGTGCTTAGCAATTATATTTTTATATCGAATCAAAATCTGTAAATATAATTTGTTAATGCACATTCAACTTGGACTATTTAGTAAACTCCTAAAAGGATACATAAATCCCTGCAATACTACAAGTAATCTGATTAATCTACAGATCATGTGTCCACGTTTCGCTTACAAGGTTATGATAACGCGGAATTTTACTTTCAGTTGAATGATCGTTTGGGATCCTTTGGTTTTGTAGTTATGATACATATCCTTCAAAAATGTCATTGATTGATGTAATAACAATAAAAACAGAACGTAGAACGTTGGCAGATCCTTGTAAGCGAAGCGTGGACACATGGCATATGATCTGCATTCAACCAGATTGTACTTTAAAGATGTTCGTTCCTTTTGTTTTTGAATTTTTGTTTGATATTCGGAATCCTCTGGTTCTATCCATGTAGTGTAAAGAAAATTTTTGTCCGCTTACCACCACTTTTCTTTTCATAATTTTTTAACGCATGGTTTGAAAAGCCATTTTTTTTTTAAATCTTATAAAATCCTTTTTCATAGTTTTTGAAAGAAAAAAAGAAGCCAATATTAAATGTATGAACAATCTAGAGAGAATCATTTAACGAAAATTTAAAATTGAATACATATATCTATTTGCACTCTACTGTGGTTTATTTTGTACCAAGACTACGATTCCGCCTCATTGCATGAGCTAGGAATAATCGTTTAATAGTTTAGAAAAGAAAGATTACACTAACGAATTTGATGGTTTAAATGTACAATTTCGGAAAAGAAACATACAAATTCAAGAAAAAATCAACATTTCTTTTGTATGAAGTTCTCAAAATTTATATTTTCAAAATCAACCATGCAACCTTTTTCATAAACAGACAAATGTATAGATTAGTCCTATATACCAAACAAACAAATGATTGCATGGTATAACATTTTGTTAAAATAAACAAAAATCAATAGTTCGTACGCTGAAATGTATATAAATAGTCTTTCTTATCATGACTAAATCTAATAATTTTGTAAACCAACTTATTTTTGAGAGCGATTTATTTTTCGCGACTTCCGAGGGTACAAAAATAACGCGAACATAAATCGTCGCGAATATGTAAAAGTCAGAACATCGGTACAAGCCTTTCTAAAATAACCCGTTTATTAATTTTGAAATTATAAAGAAACTAAGGTTCAACTCCCTCAGGCAAAGTTGACCTTAGATGAATTAGGCTAATTCTTAAGGTCCAATTGAATATATAGCTCTTCAATTGTTTCGGTTCTTATACATCCTTGGCTCTTTTAAATATACGGCTTTGAGCGTTCCAGATGAAAGTAAATCCAGAAAAGCGCTTCAGATACATGAAATTTATCACGTGGTGTTTTATTTTTTTTTTCATAATAATTGAGAATTTTACATGACAAAAACACTTTTTTTTTCATGCATTCACTGAAAAATGAAGACTTCATAAGTTTGATTAACTTGTGTCGCATCCTTTTTGCATATTTCAGCAAATAAAATATGTTTAAACTAATAATGAAAATGAGGACAATGGACAGATTGAAACTTTGTCACATAAGGTATCTGCATACAAGGTATGAAACATCCAGGTTTTCTACTTCTGAAATTGAAAGCTTTATACAAGTAGTTAACGTCGTCACCCTCGCCACCGCCACCGGATGGTAATCCCTACAATATATGTCTCGTATTCTACGACTTTCGTTGCACGCGAAACAAAAATTAATAAATACATAGAAATGAGAGCGAATTATTTCTTTTTCAATTTTATTTTTATCCTTAACGGGCTACATGTACCGTATACACAAGACTATACAATAAATAAAATATGTAATCGTCCACTTTAGTATAAATCATGATTACAAGTTAATAGTATCTTAGCAAGTTTACGATCCAGGTGTATTTCTTGTATATACATTGCAATAATTGTCATTATATTAATAATTCAACCGTTAGAAAGAGTCACACACAATGGATAAAAGTATCAAACGGAAAGAAGACCAAAAACAATAGATGATTGAAAATCATAAGTGAATATGTTAATAATAATCGATTCTTAAGTCAGAAAATAATACCCTTTAAACACTCCTGAGTCCCGATGTCTTACCTTGTGCATCAATTTCTGGTTAAGTTACGTATCTGTTCAGACTGTGAACTATCAACAAATCGTCGTGTGAATCCTATAGCGTTATATATCCACTTTTGATAAAAAGGAGATAGCTGTATATTTGATATCCAAGTGTAATGGTTTATCTCCATATACACCTTTGGTACAGAGAAAAATATTTTAATAGTGTTGTATCTCCACTATGTTCCTGTGTACTTTTGCTGTAAAATAATTTTTATCAAAATAATCTTAGGAGTACTATGCTTAAATTGTTTGCATGGTTTGAACTCAATATATGAGCAGTTCTAAGGAAATCCAGCAGTCCAGTGAACAATCCATGGTCTATTTCCAAAATAAATATAGGAATATATTTCTAAATCAACAAGGGGATGCTTTATTTATTTAAGTTGCTGGTCTATTAAAAAACAATCGAACAAAGATCAACTTTTTATGTACGTAAATTCGGATGTTTGAATGTTATTGAAAATCATTCCTAATTTAAAAGATATGAAAAAGGCTAAAGGGGATGAAGTTTTAGTTATGTATAGTTTTACGGACGACATCGTGAGTTGTATGGTATATCTGTCACTGATGTCCACGTAAATGTTTCAATTGAAGTAACGCCAATTCCTTTTTTCCTCGATTTTGGAATCATCGAATTTGTAATTACCACAAACAACATGGTGGGTGCCATTTGTGATGAAGGATATGCCTACCTTCCAAAGACACATGAGATCACCTCCAGTATTTGACAAGGTTTGTGTTTTTCATTTTTAGTAGGGTTTATTTTTCTCATTTTTTATTTGGATTTGTGATCCTCATTGTTAGGTGGGTTTGATAATATTTCTAAGTCTTTAGTTATTGTGTCATGTTTTGTGAACTGTTGGTTGTCGGTTAGTTGTTTTCTTGACAATGGCTTTGTAAGCTTTTCGATTGATGAATTTTGAATGTAGTTTTGGTATCTTATACATGTTTGTTAAATAAAATATTATTTTATGATTTAATATTTTTGATATCGATGTACTTTATTGACAATGCGCTAATTGGTGATCTTGGATGCTTAAGAAATTTTATGCTGATTAAAAAGTTTATATCAACTGAACTGTCCATGATAATCATATTTATTTTGTACTTAAGAATACTATTTTTGTAAACTCAATCATTTGTGCCAATGTATTTAAAACATTTCTTTAGTGAAAAAGTAATTTCACATAAAGTCAAATTACAAGTATATGATGGTAAGTATAAATATAGCTGGTCAACAAATCTTTTGGGTTTATCTATCAAGCACATGGAAGGTTGGCTACATGATTTTTTCCCTAGATAAACTGCAATGCTTAGGCAGCAGTCAAACGAGGCTACACGTGTGATTTGTCACTAATCATTACATAATCATAAAATACATCTCTGCTATATTTTATCGTAAGGCAAAACTGAAAATGGAGCAGTTAATATTCAAAATTTAAGATCAATTGCTCAACTAAAACAAACTCTAATCTATGATGTTTAACTATAAATGTCACCGTGATTATTTCACGACATAAAAAACCCAACATTTTAACATAAAGCAATACAAAATTATATTATATAGATAAAATACCAAAAAAAAATCTGCTTTTGAGAGATAATAAAAGACCAAATATTTGATATTAAGAACGTTTAGTCTAACAAAAAAAAAAAAATACAAAATAAAGTATAATCACCGCTTTTCGAAAAGATTTGTTTCGTAAAAGGGGACAATTGTTCCGGCACTATTTGGAATTTTCAGTTTACATGCACCATAAATTGCCATGTTGTCTGCTAATGTTTCTGATAATGTTTCCCAATGTCCAGAATCAGTACAAAAAACGTGAATGTCTTTGCACTTTCTATCCCTAAAATATCCCCCTGCAAGAACAATTGATCTCTCCTTTGTAAACATGCCGAAGTCTGAACATTCCTGCATCTGATCCGGTAATGATAAGTACGATCCCTGACTTGGGGAGAATCTTATAAAACGTTTCTCGTCAGATGCAATGTAAATGAAAGAGCCGACAACGCAGGTTTTTATTTGATTGAAAGACAAAGGGATTTCCGCTAGTTTCTTTACTATTTTCGTGCTAGGATGAAAGACATAGACAGCGGTTGCATTTGGTTTGATTTCATCTTCTATATCCAAAATTGCAGAAAAGACATAAATCAATTCATTATAAGCAACACTCGATGGATTTATTGGATAAGCATCTCCAGGAAGGTATGCCACTTTTTTCCATGAATCTTTTTTCGTGTTGTATTCTTCGATTTCCAAGACTTTACGACTCATGTAGACACCTCCTATCACATAACACTGCTTTCCATGCAATATCATGTTGAACTTTGCACGTTTGTAGTTGAGAGATGCTCTTTTCTTGCATTTGTTCATAAGTGGGTCGTACTGATACACCGAACTTCCAAACGACCAATAAACAATTGGTGGAACGTTTTCGTCATCTTGAATGCAGCAACATTGAAAAAGTTTGCTGATTTTATTTCCCTTTTTAATGTCTCTATAACACCGATTTCGCATGTTTGAATCGTAAACAATGGTTGTAATAGTCCGTTTTGACCCAAAATTACAGATTGTAAAAAGGGAATAGTATTCTTTATAGTTTTCCGTTCTCGAATTTTCAAAAGACTCTCGAGTTGAATTGTTACATCGTTTAATGCACAATTCACCTTCCTTAATTAAGCAGTTATTATTTTTAGTACATGCGAGTGCCTCCGATTGTAAATGGCTTAACTCATACTTTTTAGCAAGATTATAATATGCAACACAATTTACTGCGCTCAAATTGGAAATTAATTTATTTTCACACCATTTCAGTGTGTTGCGTAAATTTGATCTTTTAGCGACAAGGAGATAATGATCCATGTTCTCAATGTCTAAGCTGTCATTTGGCTCATCCGTGCTGAGAGCTTTTGCAAGTTGTTTTCTAACTCTTTTATCTGACAGGTTCTGAACGTACTCAGCAATGTTAATTTGGTGATCTCCATTATCTTTAGGAATTGTTTCGCTGGAGTAAGAATACGAACATGTGCTCCTGTCTTTTAAGTTCTCGTTTCCTGAGCAAATAATTTGTAACTGATGACCCCCGTTAATAATATTTGACGGAACATCATCAAGTGCATCGGGAACCATAGGCGCAGATGCTTCTTGTTCCTTATAATGACCATTTGGCCCCTTCGGTGACATTGGCAACTCTCCTTCCGTCATGTTTGCGTCTAAAATATATCAAATGATTATAATACATCAACTGCACTAAAGATGCCAAATGTAGATCAACATCTTTTAAAAAATAATATTTGTATTCCGTAAATTTTAAATAATCATTATATAAAAACCCCAGTGATGTCGTCCACACGACGTAAAAGTTGCTTTAAAAAAAGAAGTTAAAGATGAATCTTAGTACTGGCTTGAGCGTAGTTCTTTGCTAGATGTAAATGAATGTGATTATTGCACAAACTCGTTATCTGTAAGGAAAATCAATAATGCTTTATGCATTGATATTACTCAAAATACTGACATCTTTCGGGTGGTGAAATTAACATGTCAAAATGTGTTGTATGATATTGAATCAGGATGCTTATTCGAAGTTGTTATAAGATGAAAAGTAAGATCATAGCTCACACATAGATATTCCCGATCCCCATACCTCGAATGAAACGTTTAAGTCCACGTTCTGGTATGGAAATAAAATTGAGAATGGAAATGGGGAATGTGTCAAAGAGACAACAACCCGACCACAGAACAGACAACAGCAGAAGGCCACCAACAGGTCTTCAATGCAGCGAGAAATTCCCGCACCCGGAGGCGTCCTTCAGCTGGCCCCTAAACAAATATATATACTAGTTCAGTGATAATGAACGCCATACTAAACTCCAAATTGTACACAAGAAACTAAAATTAAAAATAATACAAGACTAACAAAGGCTAGAGGCTCCTGACTTGGGACAGGCGCAAAAATGCGGCGGGGTTAAACATGTTTATGAGATCTCAACCCTCCCCCTATACCTCTAGCCAATGTAGAAAAGTAAACGCATAACAATACGCACATTAAAATTCAGTTCAAGAGAAGTCCGAGTCTGATGTCAGAAGATGTAACCAAAGAAAATAAACAAAATGACAATAATACATAAATAACAACAGACTACTAGCAGTTAACTGACATGCCAGCTCCAGACTTCAATTAAACTGATTGAAAGATTATGTCTTCATCATATGAATATCAGGCACAATCCTTCCCGTTAGGGGTTTAGTATCATACCATCATAACATATATGAGAAGAACATAACCCGTGTCATGCCAACAACTGGTTTTTAAATAAATGTGTTTAGTGCAGATGCAAAGACCCTATAAGTGAATCAATATCAACGCCAAAATATGCAATCTTTAATGACCTGACAACAGTATCGTAACTATATCCCTTCTTAATAAGTCTATTTAAAGGTTTTGTTAGTTTCAGAGGTGAATACTGACATTTTTGTGCTTTATAAAGAATATTTCCATAAAAAATTGGATGTGAAATACCTGAACGTATAAGAAGTCTGCATGTTGAGCTATATTTACGAATGATGTCCTTATACCGATGATAAAATTTAGTAAATGTTTTGACTAGTTTGTGATATCGAAAACCCTGGTGTAATAATTTTTCAGTAATACATACATTTCTCTCGTTAAAATCTAAAACATTGTTACATACACGAGCGAATCGTACAAGTTGAGATATATAAACACCGTAAGATGGTGACAAGGGAACGTCACCATCTAAAAATGGATAATTAACGATAGGAAATGAAAAATCATCTCTTTTATCATATATTTTAGTATTAAGCTTTCCGTTAATGATATAGATATCAAGATCGAGGAAAGGGCAGTGGTCATTGTTAGTATTAGCTTTATTTAAAGTAAGTTCAACAGGATAAATTTCTTTAGTATACATACTGAAGTCGTCATTATTGAGAGCCAAAATATCATCCAAATATCTAAAAGTATTATTAAATTTGTGTATCAGATGTTGTTTCGATGGGTCTTTACTGATTTTTGTCATAAATTGTAACTCATAGCAATACAAAAAAAGGTCCGCAATAAGTGGTGCACAGTTAGTCCCCATTGGAATTCCGATAACCTGACGATATACGGAATCTCCAAAGCGAACAAAAATGTTATCTAGTAAAAATTCAAGGGCATATATAGTATCAAAGCATGTCCAATTGACATAGTTTTTTTGTTTATTGCTACTAAAAAATGACCTAAAAGAGTTTGAACATATATATTCACATTCTGACTTTTTAAATGCCCATTTAATTAGGTGTGTGAATTTTTTCTTAATGAGAATGTGAGGCAATGTGGTATATAGGGTAGAAAAATCAAAACTTTGAACAGATTCAAAATCACCAATATATGCATGCAATTTATCAAGTACTTCCAACGAGTTCTTGACACTCCAAAAGTAATTAATTCCACTATTTTCGAAGGCCTTATTTGAACAATTTATTATCAGGTTTTTGATTGTACCAAGTGTACTGGTAAGAAGAATAGACAATTTAGTAGTGGAACAATGGCTTGAAGACGAAATGAATCTATATTTGTAAGGTGTTTTGTGTAGCTTCGGAAGCCAATACATAGTTGGGACTTTCATTGTATTTGGTTCTGCTTGTAAAGCGGTAGCTAAAAGTTTATGTTTGTTACAGATGTCGTTTTCTGAAAATGGAGTCAGTTGGAATGTTGGTGAATTGGTGATTTCTTTTTTCAGAACCTCAATGTAAAATTTACGTCAAACAATAATAATATTATTAGCAGCTTTATCGGCCGGGACAAAAACAAATTCCTTGGCTAGTTCTTTTAGTTTATGTTTGATACGAGAAATAGGTTTATTGTGGTTATTGTTAAGAGTAAAATGTTCTTTAAAATGTTGAATACGTATATCAACTATGTTCATTACTGATTTAAAAAAAGAGTCCAAAGATTTTTTGTCAGCTTTTTCCCGTTTTATCCATTTCAAACAGTAAGTATGGAGTGAGTCGTGGATGATATTACGACACTCATTCCAATTAATAATTGACGGGGGACGATATTTAGGTCCTTTACTGAGGAATGATTTTAACTCTCGGTCTTGAACGATGTTAAGATCTCCTGTTATAACATGGGAAATGGGTCCATAAATGTATTCGGAATTACTGCAATTACATGAAGTAGGTGTATTTTCACTGATATTAACATCTTTACACAATTGGCTATAATTAAACACAAATTTCCGGGTAGATTTCTTGTAAATATAACAAATAAGAGGGAGCTCAGTATTATCAAAATATCCCGGAATTTGTTCTTTAACAGAATGGTCGTTAAAAATACCGGCAATATTTACAAAATCAAAACCTTTATTGACATACTTTATTTTAATAAACTGTTTTTTATGATCTTCAGGGCGATCAATTTTGGGAAACAGTTTAGAATAACAATATGCCATTATAATTTGAACGATTTCATACTTAGGACTGCTATATGAAATTGTGTTGCAATCCTCTAAAATTTTATTTAACTTATTAACCGGTAATGAACAGAGCTTTGTTAACAGATAATGTCTGCCGTTGTTTTTTGAAATAGAAATTAGGTCCGAAATATTGGTATGATTGGTCCGAAATTTTCTTTGATTGCGATTTTTTCTACGACCATGAGAACGGTTTTTACGAACAGTTTTAGAAACTATATCCAAAATGTTAACAGAATCGGTTCTTGATATATTACCAATTCCCATGATATTATCATTAAGACCGAGAGGGTAGACAGTCTGTAATTTTTTAATCCAATTTAATTCAATTATTTTCCGCGATCGTACAAACTTTGAATGAGATTCAATTTAATGACTATCATTGTGTTGATTGGTCAAATTTTCATGGGCATGCCCACCTTATTATAGAACCATTTCCTTGACGAAATTCTTATGAAATAAATTCAAAACCACATTGTTTCACTGTTTCATTGAATCAAAGAACATAAAAACAATTTAGATCAGCGAAACGATCGAATATATCAAATAAAAATAAAAATTATTTTAAATCATCCGCCTTTACATTTGACCTTTCAGGGTCATTTATAACATACTATTCGATATGGGGACTACTCAATATGTAAGGCCTTGTGGTGCCATATAGTTGTTATTTTCAACATTTTTCATTAAGTGTATCATACTTTATTGATAATTTTAACATTTGATAGTTTGATACAGAAAATACCGGTACCTTATCCCGGCCTCGTTAATAGTTAGTAGCATATAATAATTTTGTAAGTACTTAAAGTATACTTTTTTTCTGAAATATATCCATTTCTAAATTATAATATAACCAAACATACATATATCAATATAGAATAAATTCCAGAAAAAAATGAGAAAAAAAATAAATGAAAATAAATGAAAATCACAAAAGTTTTTGAAACAGCAAAACCAACAGAAAAAAAAAAATCAAAGAAAAACCATCTGTTTCACTTACAGTATTCGTTACAACTCACAAGGTTTTTTTCCCCCTTTTTTAATCTAATTTGTATAAACGACTATGCGGAACATCAACTAAGATATAAACATAGACAAAACAACAAACATACATATAAACCAACATATAACAATATTAAATCATAACAAAGTGGTGATGTGGATAAGGTCAAGAAATGTGAAGATAGACTATTTTAGGTATACAAAGTACCTATTATATAATAGAAATTATTCTAGTATTGGAACTCAGGGGTCCCAGTAGATATTGGCAATGTTAAAAGTGTTACTTTAAAAAATATATTCTTTTCTAGTGTAAACAATTCAGTTATACCAATGGTGTAAATGAACAATTTAAAGTTTTGTAGTTGTTCATGAGTCGGAATTTCAATTTTACAGTAAACTATATGAAAAGAATGTCGCCGATAGTTTGGAAAAGTTCAAAAAGAGATCTAACTGGGTTTTAAAAATTGAGTGTTGTTTCTTATTTTATGTTTTATATTGATATAATTCAATTTTGGATGTAACGCGTCTTCTGATTGGCTGACGTTGTTTTGTTTATCAGCTCATAGACATAATTTTGTCATGTGACAGTGACGTCATCAACGGTTTTTCATGGTTTACTCCGGTTTAAAATGGAATTTAGAATTAAATTATAAGAAATAACTGTAATATTTTTTCTGTCTATTCGAAATAACATAAAAAATGTGGTGCACACTTTAAAATAACCCACTACGCGGGTAATTCAGTGTGCACCACATTTTTGATGTTATTTCTTCATAGACAGAAAAAATATTACAGTCATTCCTTAAATATACCACGGAAAGATATATGAAAAATAAGACAATCCCAAAACTTCTGAGTTAAATTATGATATATCGAGAAATGATGTTTTACCAGTTTGGTGTCGTTCAAAGCAGGAATTTAGTTCTTGGATAATGGTATCTACACCCCTATTGATACTGGCATGGACGGCGTTTATCTGTAATATAAAGAAGTGAGAACTATTTGTTACTCGATTACTACATATGGTAAAGGAACATGTATTTTCTTAGAATGTAAATTTTGTCTAAAAAATTTAAATGGTAAACAATTGTCAATACTTAAATCATAAAGGTTAAATAGGAAAATAGTGTGTTCGATATTTCTACTGATTAGAAGTGGTTATCTAAACTTGCTTATGTAGGCATGGTTCATGACTCAATGCAATTGGATACTACACATCTATGTTCAAAAATTCAAATATGGATAATTGTAGCAATCTGTAAAATGCTGAAGGCGGAGTTAAAGTGAAGACTATTAAGAAAATTTAAACGTCTACATCTCACCTCAGATTCCAACTGTTCTATTTTCGTATATTCTGCGCAATACGTAAAATACTGTTTCATTAATGTTTCATCCAATGTTCTGTTTAGAATATTTTCATATCTACTCGAATATATATTTGTACTATCAAGATGTTTAATAGAATACCCTAAAGTATTCATTAAACTCTCGAAATCCAAATTCGACAAACTACAATTCGGGTTATGACTGATATAATCGTTCTTCATCTCCCGAATTTTTTGAACGGCTTCTTTTTCATTAGGCATCAAATTGCAGCAATTAATCAGAATTAAGCTAAGAAGAGAAAGATCAAGATCACTTTCGTCAACACTTTTTGAAGTTACACAACACATGCAAGTTTTATTTGGGTCTTTTTGATTAGGTTTGCAGCAACGAGCCAAATCGGAGTCATACAAAATGTCCCACTGTTTCTTAGAAAACACTTTTCCCAGCTGTGTTCTACAGCCTTTCCAGCAACATGAGTGGGCTGGCCAAAACAGATGAAAAATAATATGCAGCACATCAGTATCTTTCAGGAATGTTTGCAAATTTGAATTTCTGTAAGACTGTTTAAGTCGGCATCGCAGTACGTCAGCAACTACTTCAGTTATTAGACAAAGGAATCGGAAAAAATTCTCCTTCTCGCTTCCCATTCTGGAAGTAGATCATATGTGATATTAATATAACAATGTATGAGATCAAATTGAGAAACTGAACAAAAATTAATGGTTTATGATAAATGTTATATTTAAAACATGTACAAGTCATGCAATATTTTATTAAAAAGACCATCGATAATGGGCTGCTTCAATGAAAACATAGAAAATTGTCTGACAGAATTAAATTGAATTACATCTTTTAAAAGCAACTCAAACTGAAATGGTCGGGAAGAGTTCAGAAATTTTAATATTCAATAAAACGAAATAGGGATCACTCGAACGGAAAATGTTTTTTTTTTGTCTTAAAAAATCTACCTCGATACCTTATGCAACTCAAATTCATTTGCATGCAGAAACGTAGAATGAAAATTGCTTGGAATAACTTCCTTCACAATGTGACTAGTTTTGATTGTGTCATAAAAAAATAGCTTTGCAAAACGGCTGACCTCCAGCAAAGATATCATTACATGACAAAGGCATGATTATATGACAACCTTTTTTTCAACGATTTTTATTATGTGCAATGCATAATTATCATTATATATTAAGACTGACCTGGTTGCAATACATGAAATATACACGTTTGGGTTTGATTTCACCTTTGAAGTGTAGTTTGAAAATATGACTGATGAGTCATGAATGAAAATATTGAAGAGTGGAGATATAATTTATATCCTGACCAATATAATCCGTGAAAGTGCCTCTGCTTTATTCCTTATATACTAGAATCTGTTTTAAATGTTTAAAGAACTCAGGAAAGAGGGATAAGCGTATGCATTGAGTTATAATACCAGGAAATTAAAATACTCAATAGATATTAGAAAAAAAACTATTGCTAAGGGCTACTCGTTAATTGTTTCCGGTCTATAAGAAAAGCATTCCAGTTCTTTACTGCATTGAGGGTGTTGTAGCACAAGATGCTTATTAAATATACATATACAGACGAATGTTATATGTTCGCCACATGTATGTTTATTATTGAAACTAATATTGAAATTGCAAGAATAGACAAAACCTTCGAACATACAGATTGTGGGTGCCCAACTCTCTCCTTACCTAGGAATGTGATATAACAACACCACATATGAACAAACTGCAAAAGTCAGTTGAAAAGGGTTAACTCGTCATATCAATTATGCAGAAAAAACTAGTTATACATCCGTATATATGTATGTACTCTAATATTATCTTTGGAGATTTTAAGTATCCACTTCTGATTCACGCCATCCATAGAGTAGTTAGTTTCACAATAATGTAGAAGCCCGGCTTCGACTACTGACAAATTGGGTGTTAAATTAAAAACAAATATTCGAGGAGCACTTGGAAGACCAAGCAAAATAACTCCGTGTGTAATGACAGGATAATTATATACACCAATTATTGATTTAAGCGAAAACCTGATAAGTAATGTAAGTTAACCATGAATTAGATTTATCTTACTGTTGTTCATTTGTACATGTATTCTCGATATTTTCTTTGACTCTCATTTTAAAACCTTATACCACTTACTTTCGATCTATTTACCTGTATAGTATTTTGTCTTGTTCTAATTATGTATTCTGGTAAACAAATATGTATTTTAAGAAAAAAAAATGGTTTTCACGCTATAACTTTTTTTTAACTTCAATGAAATACTACCTACAGAGATAAGTGACATATTCTTATTAATAAACATTTAAATTTAAGTATGTACCAACACGCTCGTACGTAGCCATATCAACAAGCACATGACTTTAAATGGAATGACAAACAGTTATTTTTTTTTAATAAATAGCTGATAAATTGTTGTACATTCTAACATTCATTCTATGTTTTCTATATATTTTCCCTTACTATCGAGCTATTTTTAGTATTGATTATTTTTCCTAATCTTATATTCAGGTAAACACTTATATATTTTAAGAAATAAAAAATGGTTTTCCTGATATAACTAAGATAGCTTCGAGGAAACATACCTACAGTTCAGCGACGAATGACCTATTTTTAAACATTTAAATGTAAGGATTAACCCCAACGCACTTTCGTAACTACATAAGCAAATTATGAAAATGGTATATGTTTTCGTATGCATTTATTCCTACATTGTCCTAGGCAAGTGTCATTTTTTATATTTTAAATATATCTATACCGTAACCTCTGACCCCTCTGATCAAAACCTTTACCACAAAAAAAAAAAAAAAAAGAATTTGACCATCATAATGATATCTTAATATGATGAAGACACCCAAATTTAAATTCAAATATGTTTTAATTAACAACATATAGCTGGGAATATACATGCATCGCAAAATACATAGGATAACAGGAATCAAATAATGTTTTGTACGGTACTGCTACGCTATCCAATTTAAAACAAGTTACTGCTCCGAAAAAAAACCCACCACATTAAATATCCTGATTTAGTAAATTCAAAATATGTGTCGGGATTTAGCAAATTTAATTTTAATCAAGACCTGCCCCTTTGCATATCCAAATCGTATATTGCAAAGGTAAAATACTTCACAAAAATATGTCGGCAGAATGAAGTAAGTGCAAAATCTTTGTTTTCATATGTTATTCCTTGAACAAATTGTCCAATCTGTATTTTTCGTGATAATTCCCTCTGGTATGAAGACCATCTCTACTGATTGTGAATATACTAAGTTCAAAGTTATGACAGCTATTGGTAGATTAAATCAGGGCCTGCAAAAATGTGATATATTTTTCGAAATTTAATACAAAAATTCACAGAAAAATAACTAGAGAATTTTTAAAGGACAGTCTGCTGTTGTTTATAAATATCCCAAAATATAATGTGGATGCACAAACACATGTATGTTTTGCCCATGATAACTTGGCACTTGTCAGATAAAACTATGTGAATTGTACAGGAAACCCTTTTATGTAATATGTACATTTTAAATCAAGTTAATATTCTCATGGTTGATCAACTTCTGCAAACATGAATTAGGAACTTTTCATAAATAGTGAACCAGTGATATAATTCCAGCCATAGGAAAAAGACAGATGTTATGTCACTTCATGAAAATAAAAAGTAATATAAGAAACAAATTACGTTATTTATAATTGCAATTTATTTAGAACTAAATATCTGCATCACCGTGTCCTGAAAAATTTGATCCATATTCTTTTCATGTGACTTCGATGTACAGGAATAAAAGATAAATGGAATGATTTGATTATACACAATTGTATTTTAATCTAATCAGGTTGGAATCGTTTTTAGGTAATTCAATCGAAATCAGGGAGATCACAGGAGGAGGTTTAATTGTGACAAAATTGAACCTGATCTTATGTATATTTCAACCCGTCCCTAATTTGAAAAAAAATTGTGATGATTATATTTATATCAAATAAAACATTACAGTTTCAGTTTAATATCTAATCTTTCATGGATATTTTTCCCTAAATGAGACTAAAATAAATACAGTGAATATATAACAGAAATTGTGTAGAAATAATCATTGAAAAAATAAGAAAAATCAATTAAATGCATTCATAGAATATACGATAAGTAGATATAGGTTCAGATTGACGCATAATTCATTGTGCGTGTGAAAGTGATATGAACTATAAAGTAATATATGTATATCAACAGTGACATAAGTGAAGATCACATGCAAGTACTTCTTACTAGACGAAATGATGCTATTGACCAAATGTAGATGTACTATTACTCAAATAATCTAACGTTAGGTTTACCATTGTTTTATGAAATGAAATAGAAAATGACATTAGAGTTAAGAGTAACAAAAAAAATCAAAATATTCTTAAACACGAACTTCTAAAACATCTAAATTCAATAGTCTTGAAATATACTTTGTAGTCATTTTGAAAAATTAAAGTCTCTGTTATATCTGTGAAAATATTTCATTAAATTACACATACGTTATAAACATTTCACATGTACTGTTAAAACATAATGTAAATAGCTGAAAACGTTTTTAAAATTTCATTTGAAGTTTTCCTGTCATCTATTTTCGATCTATTTAAATAAGATCTGTCTTCTTGTCTAAAAGATGTTGTCCGTTTCTCCTGAAATAAATCTAATTTCAAAACATCAATCGTAATTTAAAAGAAAAAAAACTATGTTTTTGAAATGTACACACAATCAAAATTCAATGAATGAAAGTAAAAGAAAACAAAAATATCGAACTCCAAGGAAAATTCCAAGTAGAAATCAAAATTCCCTGAACAAATGTTGAAATCAAAAGCTTCAATACATCACAATAATGCAAAACAACTGTCATATTTCTGACTTGGTATACGGATTTCTTTATGTAGAAAATAGTGGATTAATCCTGAAATTAAAGCTGCCAAACATCTTACTTGTAAGACAGTCACAGAGAATTTATAATTGTAAATAATAAGACGTAATGAGGTTTTTATGACGTTAAAAGAGAGCATATATTGTCCATTTCTACTAATTGAAATTCAGATTTTTAATTAAGAATCTAATACATACCGTAACTGTCAGATTTTTTATGGTGACCCCCAAAGTTTCATATAATTATCGGTTTTAATAAGAAAGAAGCTTGACAAAGTTAAAGTAGTTTATATAATTAAATACTGCAACTATTGATCTTTAGCTATTTCCTAAAAATAAAATAACTGATTTTTACCTTGATTTTTCTGTATCTTCATAAATTTTACACGATCCTTAATTAATAACTTATTGTTCACATTTGTGACTATTCCAACTGTTTTTCCATGTTTGGTTTTACGTTAATTTTAAACCTTGTCACAATCTATATATATAGCTACTTATAGAATTTCGCAATTAAACTTCCTGTTCTAACTTTAAATTCATATTTTACCTACAAAAATTTTCCTTTTAAGCTATAAAAAAAATGATTAAAACAGATTTTTTTTAAACTCATAAGAAATCCCTCACGTCATTTCCTTAGACTATCATAGTTATACACATTAAATCTGAAACCTTTTCCATTGACTCTCGAACATATAGTTCTTTATTTTAAAAGCGTAGACAA